TTATTTCGGGAGATTGGGTGGAAGCTGCTGGTTCAATATGAAATTTTTTATTGCCGAAAAAAATGTGTATGAGTACGTCCCTGGAGGCGATACCTAAAACGGGACCAGTATTGATTATATCGTGTAGGAATTACCGAACATTTGAAGTTATAATTATATGGGGTGCTATGCCTAATTGAGTACGGAAATAGCTCAATTTCGAATATAGCTCAATTTCGAAACTAAAATTTTTGCATCACAATAACTTCCTATACGCTGAATATTAAGAAATACCGAAAATCGGTAGGTATCATTATATGGGGACTAGACCTAACTGCGGGCCGATATAGTTCATTCTCGATCCTGACGTTCTAATTTTTTATCTCGATATCCTCCGCAGGTAGAATGATTGCAAAAAAGTCTTAGAACCCAACCCAAAACGCGGAACAAATCAGATAACTATTTTTATATAAAAATGGGGTTTATATGGGGACTAGCCCTAAAAGGGGGCGAATATTAATAATTTTTGGGAGGGAGGTTTGTTACCATATATGACTACAAAAAACCAAATTACAATGACTTTGGTTGAAAAACGCGTTCAAGAACCCCAAAATACAGAAAATTGTGGGTACCCTTATATGGGGGCTATCCGAAAAAAATGGAACTATATTTGTATTTTTTGGTGGGGAGATTTTCTACTCAATAAGAACTCAAAGTACCAAATTTCAGGGAATTCGGTTGAAAAACGCACTTAAGAACTTCAAAATACCGAAAATTGGGGGGTACCCTTATATAGGGGCTATCAGAAAAAGTGGACGGATGTTTATAATTTTTTGTGTAGATATTTGACACTAAGTGAGAACCCAATGTACCAAATTTCAGCGAATTCGGTTGAAAAACGCGCTCAAGAACCTCAAAATATCGAAAATTGAGGCGTACCCTTATATGGGGGCTGTTCGAAAAAATTAACCTATATTTATAATTTTTGGTGGGGAGATTTGTTACCCAATAAGAACTCAAAGTACCATATTTCAGGGAATTCGGTAGAAAAATGCGATAAAAAACCCCAAAATACTGAAAATTTGGGAGTACCGTTATATGGGGACTACCAGAAAAAGTGGATCTATATGTATAATTTTTGGAGTAAGTTGGTACCCAATAAGAACCCAATGTACAAAATTTCAACGAATTCAGTTATAAAACACGCCCAAGAACCTCAAAATACCGAAAATTGGGGGTACCCATATATGGGGCCTATCAGTAAAAAATGGACCTATGTTTATAATTTTTGGTAGGTAGATTTGCTACCCAATAAGAACTCAAAGTACCAAATTTCAGCGAAATCGGTAGAAAAATGCGATCAAAACCCACAAAATACCGAAAATTAGGGGGTACCCTTATATGGGGGCTATCCGAAAAAATTGACCCATATTTATAATTTTTAGTGGAGAGATTTGATACCCAATAAGAACTCAAAGTACCAATTTTCAGCGAATTCAGTTCAAAGCCGCGCTCAAGAACCTCAAAATACCGAAAATTGGGGGTGGGTACCCTTATATGGGAGCTATGCCTAAACGTGGACCGATGTAAGGCACGTTTTTCAATTGAAGTGACTGTAATTTGTTATTTGTGGTTATCATTGGTTGGTATTTTTTTGGATGTCTATCTATCCTATAGATCAAAATAGAGACCCAAGGGTTCTGACGAACCTTTCCTATAGAAAATAATTACTATCCAGGGTCTAAAGATTTTTTTATAACTTTTTAGTCTGATTTTGATATTTCGTTGTCTGCCCCATCTTCTTTTTTTCAATTCCAAACTGATGCTGATTTGGAAAGTTGCTATCTCTGTTTGTTGTTTTTGTTGTCATGATTTTTGCGATTTATGATTTGTGTGTGCTTCAAAATTTAGAACTGGGTCAAACTGTTTAGCAAACAGTTGTAATGGCCGAACTGCTAAACTGAAATCCAATAAGAATAAGAAGAAAGGAATTGTAAAGAGAGACCGGCCATAATGAGAAGCTCAAAAGTAATTAGCAAATAAATGAACAAGAAAATAAAAACTTGCCAGATCATTGATCATTCAATTCGTTTTCTTCATATTCCCATTTTATGTCGTTCTGCTAAATGGCCAACATTTGCTACGGGCCATTTTTTGTGTTACAACAAATTTTTGGTAGACTTCGGTGTTGTTGCTAACTAGCTGGATTGTTAACACTTCATCATTAGTGGCGCTGCCCAGATCTAGTCTAAAAAAGCCCTTAGCAGAGGCTATCTATCTATCTATTATACCTCAATACAAGTCCGGGGTGACTTGATTTTCAATACGAATAGAAATTTTGTTTTTTTTGCGGTTTTAATTTATCGTCACGTTTTGGTGTTTTTTTTTGTGGTTGTTTTTGTTTCACTTTTGTATAACAATTTAGTAACAATTAGCCTGATTGGTTGGTCGATCGGTTGGTATACATTGTCGAAAAGGTAATTGATTTAAGTATTTCGATTGTTATCGATTTCACTGGCTATACATTTTGTTTTTGCTATACACTCGAAATTGGATTTGAGATGAAATTGAAAACTTGATAAGAGGGAGAGATTCACCTTTTTTCTATAAAAATGGATCAAAGGGCTCGACGATCTTTTTTCTACAGAATACATGAACCAGAAGTCCCGTAGATTTTATTCTTTAGGATTTTTTTTCTACAGAAAAAAATCGACCTGGAGTGTAAAACGAATTTTTTTCTTCAGAAAAAAATCGACCTGTAGGGTCTCCATTTTTATAGGAAAAGAAAAATCGTCGAGACATTTGACCTGAAGGGTTTCACGAATTTTTTCCTATTGAAAGAAAAATGACCTGGAGTGTTTTACGAATATTTTTCAATAAAAAAAAAATGGAGACGATTTTCTTCAATAGGACCATATTTTTTATAGAAAAAAATTGTCGGGACATTCGACCTGAAGGGTATCACGAATTGTTCCTATAGAAAAAATTTGTGAGACCCTACAGGTCAATTTTTTTCTGAAGAAAAAAATTCGTGTGATCCTCCAGAAAAAAATCGACAATTTTTCTTTTCTAGAAAAAATAGACCAAATGTCCCGACGGATTTTTTTCTATAAAAAAATGGACCAAATGTCCCGACGATTTTTTTTCTATATAAAAATGGACCAAATGTCCCGACGAATTTGTTTCTATTAGAAAAAATCGACCTGGATGGTCTCACGAATTTTTTTCTATAAAAAATGGAGACCCTCCAGGTCGATTTTCTTCTATATATAAAAATCGTAAGGCCCTTCAGGACGATTTTTCTATAGAAAACAATCTAACATTTATTATATAGATAAAAATTCGTCGAGACATTTGACATGGAGGGTCTTAGGATTTTTTTTTTTATTGAAAAAAATCGACCTGGAGGGTCCCACAATTTTTTTTCTATTGAAAAAAATCGGCCTGAAGGGTCTAACCAATTTTTTTCTTTTGAAAAAAATTTGACCTGGAGAGTTTTTTTCTATAGAAAAAAGTGGACCAAATGTCCCGAAGAATTTTTTTCTATAGAAAAAAGTGGACCAAATGTCCCGACGAATTTTTTTCTATAGCAAAAATGGACCAGAGGTCCCGAAGATTTTTTTCTATAGAAAAAATGGACCAGAGGTCCCGACGATTTTTTTCTATAGAAAAAAAAGTGTACCAAATGTCCCGACGAATTTTTTTCTATTAGAAAAGTTTGACATGGAGGGTCTCACGAATTTTTTCCTATAAAAAATTGAGACTCTCCAGGACGATTTTCTTCTATAGATACAAATTGTGAGGCCTTCCAGGTCGATTTTTCTATAGAAAAAAAAATCGTGAAACCCTCCAGAAAAAAATCACCCTTTTCTTCTATAGAAAAAAATCGTCGGGACATTTGACCTGGAGGGTCTCACAAATTTTTTTCTATTGAAAAAAATCGACCTTGAGGGTCTCACAAATTTTTTTCTATTAAAAAAAATTGACCTGGAGGGACTCACGAATTTTTTTCTATTGAAAAAATCGACCTTGAGGGTCTCATAAATTTTTTTCTATTAAAAAAAAATTGACCTGGAGGTACTCACGAATTTTTTTCTATTGAAAAAATCGACCTGTAGGGTCTCTAGAATCGACCATAGGGTCTTTTTTTCTATAGAAAAAATAAACCAAATGTCCCGACGATTTTTTTTCTATAAAAAAATGGACCAAATGTCCCGATTTTTTTCTATAGAAAAAAAGTAATGACGAATTTTTTTCAATAGCAAAAATGGACCAAAGGCCCCGACGATTTTTTTCTATAGAAAAAATGGAATAGAATTCCCGACGAAATAACAGGACCAGAGGTTACGACGATTTTTTTCTATAGAAAAAAAAAACAAGGATCAGAGGTATCACGAATTTGGATAAACATGGACAAGAGGTCTCACAATTTTTTTTCTATAGAAAAAACTTGAACCAGAGTTTGGGGAATTTGTATCTATAGATGAAAACATGGACCAGAGGTCTTCCGAATTTGTTTCCATAGAAAAGAATGGACCTGACAGTTTTTTTTCTACAGAAAAAATGGACCAGAACTAGAGGTCTAACGATATTTTTTCTATAGAAAAAACTTGGGTCAACGTTCCCGATGAATTCTATAGAAAAAAAATCGATCTGAAGGTCTTTATAGAAGAAAACATGGACCAGAGGTCTTCCGAATTTGTTTCCATAGAAAATAATGGACCTGACATTTTTTTTCTACAGAAAAGATGGACCAGAACTAGAGGTCTCACGATATTTTCTCTATAGAAAAAACTTGGGCCAACGTTCCCGACGAATTCTATAGAAAAAATCGATCTTTTTTCTATAAAGACTGGACTTGGTGTACCGACGATTTTTTCTATAGAATAAATTAACCTGAGTCTCGAAATTTTACAGAAAAAAATGGACCGATTTTTTTCTAAATTTTTTCCAAATTTTAATTTTTTTCCTGATTTGCTGAGATTTATTTCCTATTTCCGAAATTATTATTTTTTACTTACCATAACACTATTGTTATCATAATCCTCCGACAGGCTACTTTTGCCGCTGGCACTGCTGGTGCCAATACCCAAATCACTCAGATCATTCGATTCATCCTCTGTGTAGACCGCCAATGAGGCTAACTTTTTCAAAGCAGGACGGCCAACGCGATCACTTCTAAACAAATTAAGAATAGAAAAATAAAAATTATTTAAAAAAAATCCATAGAAAATAATATCTTAAGGGACTGGAAATGGCGCTTACCGATTTTCAATCATTTCGGAAAATGTTTTCGATTTTCTGCGCGTACGATCATGCTCTTCCAATTCGAGTTTTTTAACCTCTACCACACGATCGATAATGTGTTCGACACGTTTTCTACGTGATGACTTCCAATTGTCCAGGTTCTGTGTGACCACCGTTGTAATTAGGTGTGCGATGGGTAGGGCCCAGCCAGTCAATGAAATGAAGTTTTTTACACAGGTTGCAAAGTTCGGTGTGCGATGTTGTAAAGTGTGCAAGAAGAAGAAGAAAACATGTTAAGAATTGTTATCACTTTGTTTTCAATTCAATTTAAAAAAATAGCTACTGTTAAAAAATTTTTTCAATACTTTTGTTCACAATGAAAAGTGAGGCCAGAAGAAAAAAACGGCACTTCGATGGAAAGAAAGAGAGAAAGTTGTTCGCGTTTTTTGTTTTTCTTTTTCTGATATTTATTTACTTTGCCACATTCAATTGCTTTTAATTATGGGAGGTCTTTTTTGTGTAAAGTCTAAATTGCCTTATTGACTGTCATCAATAATTACTGGCAGTTGTTGTTGTTGTTTATTTTATTTTTTGTTTTCTTTTTTTGGTTTGTCTAGAATTGTTTGTGTTCGGAATATTTAATTGAGTTGTTGTAATTGGTTGTTAATACGCCAAAGAATTTTTGTGTGTGAAAATTTCACCTGAGATCGTTTATGAGGAGGTCTCAAACAGCTTACATTGTATCCACGTTCGTTCGGTCGGTGGCTGTCTACAACTTCAAAGAAGGGGTTTGAAGTTGTTTTTGTTTTGTTTTAGGTTTTCAATGAATATTGAAAATTCACCAGTCTCTAAATTTTATCAATTGTCAATTAGTGATGCATCACTATCACTTGATTATTGATATTCATTGGAAAGCTAATTATTTACCGTTTGAAAAACAACAACAACAAACAACAAACGTAGCTCATTCAGGTTCAAGGTGGAATAATTGGAAAGAAACTGAAATTAGGAAAATAGTGAATGTCTCAAATCAAAAACCCCACCTGGAGGACTTATTGGAAGCAAGGATTTTTTTCTTTAGCAAAAAATCAAACAGAGGTCTTTTTTAATTTTATTCAATAGAAAGAAAAAAATGGACCTCAGGTCCCGACGATTTTTTTTTTCAATGAAAAAAAAAACGACTTGAATTTCTCACGAATTGTTTCTATAGAAAAAGCATGGACCAGAGCTAGATTTTTTCAATAGAAGAAAATCGTCGGACCTCTGTCCCATGTGTGGGGCCTTCAAGTGGATTTTTTCGATAGAACTAAAATTTCGTCGGGACCTCAGGATTATTCTTATATAAAGAAAACCAGTGAGGAAAATAGTAAAGTCGGACGGGGCCGACTATATGATACCCTTCACCACTTTGGGTATATTCAACAGATGAAAAAAAATTGTGATACCTCCAAGTCGATTTTTTTCTTTAGAAAAAAAACCTGAGACCTCCTGGTCGATTTTGTTTTCTAGCAAAAAATCATGAGACCTCCCGGCCGATTTTTTTCTATAGAATTGGGCCAGAGGCCCTAATGTTTTTTGGACTTGATGTATTTTTTTCAACAACAAAGAAATGTTGTTCATCTTGCCCTTTAAATGTTACTTCGATGTTGTACGGCTTTCAAGCAATTGTCATGCTAAGCATAAGTCCACAAAAATTTTTTTTCTCGGCTTTTGTGTTTTTTTCTTCGAATTATGCAATTTCTTTAAATGTTAATGAGAATGGCGTTTCGTTTTATTTCAACTCTCGTTAAAACACAAGCAAAAGACTTGCCGCCGAAACATTACCGCACTCTAGTTCGCTTCGTTTTTTTTAATATTCCACGGATGGACTTGTCTCGTATTTTTCACTTTACTTTCTATGAATTTAAATTATTAAATTTCTATTTCATGTTTCAACATGGTGTCACATCATGATTGTGACAATTTGAAACTGCAGCACGGCAATATTATCAGATTTTCGAATGTAACTTATTTGAAATTTATTTATTTATTTTTTTTAATAAAATTTTTAATTTTGTAATCTGTACATTTTTGATTGCAACAAGCATGAATTTGCCAATAAAAAAATTATTAACTTTTTCTGGTTTTGTTTTTGCATATTATGTTGATATTATGTGCCTCCTGAAGCGGTTTTTCGTCAGCTTCGTTTATCTCTTACCAGCGACGGTAGCATTAGTGTGGGAAAGGAAGTCATTTATTTATTACAATATTGGCATAAAAACGTTGTTTACTAAGTTTTTTTGTCTGTCTGTCGGTGTGGTGTCTGTCTGACCATTCATTCGTTACGTTGATTTATTTAATTGTGCCAAATTGAATTTAATTTTTTTTATTTTTTCATTTACATTAGGGTGTGTACTTGTTTTTTTGCGCATATCTTCATGGTATAATATTGACATATTTTATTTGAATTTTGTTTACGATTATATTTATTAAATAATAGATGCGTGATTGAATTTACAATGGTGTAAATATGTGTCAGCTACAATTTATGGTCATAAGAAAAAAATTTTAAATTGCAAAAATGTACAATTTGAATTGTTTACATATTTTCGAATCATTAATATTCAGGTCAATTTTTTAAAGAAAAAAATTGTCAACGGTTCTTCTATAGAAAAAAATTCTTCTGGACATTTAGTTACAAATTTTTTCAATAGAAATTAAATTGTCATATATATCGTCATACCCAACAAATATTTATACCCTTCACCATACTGTGGTACAGGGTATTATGCATTTGTGCATATGTTTGTAACAGGCAAAAGGAATCGAGATAGACATATGGTTCCTTTAAGGAATATGCATATAATCACTTTCTGAATCGATATACGCATGTCCGACTGTCCGTGCGTCCATGTATTTTTGTTCACAAAGTACAGGTCGCATGAATGATCCGATTTGGTTGGAATTTGGCACAGTTCACTTTTTTGGCCCATAGACGAACCCTATTGAAATTGAAGAAAATCGGAACAGATTTAGATGTAGCTCCGAAATATAGTTTCGTCCGATTTTTTTGTGAATGATACACAAACTCCCAGCATTGAATTAGGTCCAGACTGATGTCTGCGAAGTTTTGTTGGAATCGGTTCAGATTTAGATATAGCTCCCATATATAGTTTCGTCCGATTTTATGTGAATGATGCACCAAACTCCCATTATTTGTCCCATTGGCTCAAAATTTAAATAAGGCCCAGTCTGCGAAGTTTTGTAAAAATCCTGGGTGGCGTAGGGGATGATAGTTGCCAAGCAACGGCTCAGATTGGCTTTAACATTGCGAAGTCCAGGCTTATCTTGGTCCCTCTTTCATCTCAATTGTGGACACTGACCTCCCCGTGGTTCCACCTGGTACCTATTTTCATCACCCGATCAAATAAAGAGCTAATATGTGCCGCGAGTTCACCCATAAGAACTATAAAAAATGGGTTGATCCGTCGGGTTAGTTGCCCACTCTCGGAAAACCCAACCTACTATGAAAAAGCAAGGAAAACGAAAACCAAAACCCCCCTAATGTTGACGATCCCCGCAAACGTATAAAGGACCACGATTTGCGAATCTGCACTTGGAATGTGCGCACGTTGTACAGAACAGGCGCAGTGTTCGCTTTGGCGGATGTACTCAAGAAGTACAAAGCCGATATTATTGCCTTACAGGAAATGCGATGGAAAGGGACAGGAGTAAGTAAATCAGAGATTACGCCCTGTATTATAGCTACCATGAAACGAGACATGAATTTGGCTGCGGATTTATGGTTAACAGGAGAATAAATGACCTCGTCTCCAGATTCACTCCAGTAGATGAGCGAATTGATATAATCCGTATAAAAGCGAAGTTCTTCTACATCAGTCTTATTTGCACCCATGCTCCGACCCATGACAACAATGAGCAGACCAAAGACATATTTTACGAACGCCTAGAAACAGCCCTGGCCATGACATTAAAATTCTGCTAGGAGATTTTAATGCAAAAATCTCCCGATCGAACAACGAGAAATCAAATTGATTATGTTGTGATAGATGGAAGGTATTCATCCAGTGTTTTAGACGTCCGATCGATCCGGAGAGCGAATATCGATTCGGACCATTACCTTCTGGCAGACAACTTACGCACCCATCTTAATGTAGCAGCAAAGGTGCGATCTACCACAACACGGAAACTCGACGTCGAAAGGCTGCAGAAGCTAGCAGAAGCCTACTCCGCTCAACTTACTCAACTGTTTGACGAAAGCACCTCTTGTCCCGATAATAATATAAAAGCACAATGGCCGAGAATTCCCACTCCCTACAAACTGCAGCAAAAGCAACACTTGGGTACCAAAGACCACCATCAAGAAATCCGTGGTACGTAAGGAGTGTTGTATTAACGTTTTGAGCTGTAGCGACTACGTTGGCTAGGTCATGTTGTGAGAATGGATGAAGATGTCCCAGGCCAGAAGGCATATAAAAGCGAACCAGCTGATGGTTCACGCAGAAGGGGAAAGCCAAGAATACGTTGGAAAGATCAAGTCGAAGACAACATCGCCGAAAATGGTCTTTCAAATTGGAAAAACTGCGCAAAAGACCGACGCGCCTGGAAATCTTTTCTAAGCTCGGCTTATGGAACGAAAGTTCTACCACAAGCCAGCTAAGTAAGCAAGTAACACCAAACTCCTAATATTTGTCCGAATGAGCAAAATTTTGTATAACGAATGCAATTGAGGAAAAAATTATGTGCGATAAGGTTTGTTGAAATCGGTTCAGATTCTTATATAGGTCTTATATATGTTTTCGTTAGATTTTATGTAAATGATGCAGCGAAGGGCCTATGTTTGCTCGTTTTACTATCTATCTATCTGGATATTGTAGATATTAACATCTCTTGTATGTACTCAAAATTGTGAAGGGTATCATATATCATGTCGGTCCGTCCGACATTTAAACATTCTTTATTTTGTTTTCTTTTTTAAAGATATCCAAAAAATATTTTTTTTAAAAAATCTACGCCGATTGAGGTACCCAAAAAATATTTTTTAAAAAATCCACGACGATTGAGGTACCCAAAAAATATATTTTTTTAAAATCCAGGCCGATTGAGGTAACGAAAAAGTATTTTTTTAAAAAATCCACGCCGATTGAAGTACCCAAAAATATTTTTTTTTTTAAATCCACGCCGATTGAGGTACCAAAAAAAATATTTTTTAAAAAATCCAAGCCGATTGAAGTACCCAAAAATATTTTTTTTAAAAAATCCACGCCTATTGAGATACCCAAAAAATATTTTTTAAAAAATCCACGCCTATTGAAATATTTTTTTTAGTCCACTCCTATTGATCCTTTGCAAAAATTCTTATAAAAAAACCACACCCTGACGTCATACGACTCACTGCAGGACCATCGAGTCAACATCGTCTAGAGGAAGAGAGGGGAAATGGAAGGTGGGACTTATTTTTATGGACTAATTAACTAATTAAAGACAACAACACCAGATCCATGATCAATATACCCATTTTATGGAACCCAACCAAACAAAAAATTTAAAAATGCACACCACGCCGCAACCATAATGTAGGCTATGATGATTACACAATGTTTCTCCCGATCCATAATAAAAAACAATTGTTGGCTTTTCGATTCGATTCTCTAGCCATACATGGTACACGAATTTCAAAAAACAAAAAAAATTGTAACTCTTTGCCACCAGTATTGAAATTCACGTTTGTACGTGAAGTACAAAAGTAAAAAATAAAAACAGAAATAGTCAATGCGCATGCACTTCGAGAAATGTAACTTCGAATCCGCTGATCCGGTGTGATTGCTGCTGTTAATCGAATTTGTACATTTCTCAGGGAACAATTGTTATTCGCAGCAATAAATCTACTATCCATAAATTCATCCAATGTTCAGAGATCGACGGCCAATCAAGGGGTGGATGGGGGAGAGAAAGGAGATTGGGAGTGAAGTGGTGATGAAAAGGCTCACTTCTTCGTTTGTTATTATTTTATACGTCGTGCGACACAACACAAAAGCCCAACTAAACTACAGAATAATGCATTGGAATACATAGACAGACGGACGTACATGTCGGACAGACAGACACCATGCAACTCGAAAATCAAAAGTGAACAAATTGCCAAACAAAGACCCAGAAATGCGAACATTCGGTAAGTCAGTCTGTTTGAGATGTCAGAGTGTCAAATTGACACCAGCCATGCCAACACTAACCAAAAAAAAACCGAAACACCAATGGAACACATTTCTATACACACGATACATACATGTATGCATGTATGTGATACCAATGTTTTTGATACAGATTCGTGACAAATTTACACAAAACACACAAAATTTTGAAATTCACGTAATCGTTAAAACCACAGAAACTGAAATTGAAAAAAAAAAAATTGGAAACAAAAGAAACACCATTTTTTTTTTTTAAATATTCACACTTCGTATAGAAAGAAGATCATAACCGAGTTTCATGGGCAATTCCACGTACAAAGATAACGACATACATTTATGTATGTAGAGCTATGTACTTATCTTATATTGTAATAGGTTCATGATCGATGGATCAAATGTTGCTGTTGTCGTATTCAAAAAAAATTCACTTTCACTTCAGAATAGATGACGGGAGGGAGGAGAACTCTATTTTGAAGCAAATTTGGAGCTAAGTTAATTTTAAATAAATCTAAAATAATTTTGAAACCAGTAAGGAAAGAAGTAAAGTCGGACGGGGCCGACTATATGATACCCTTCACAACTTTGGGTATATTCTACATATGTATCCTAACAGCCGTCGCGTGTTAGTTATATATCTATATCTGAACCGATTTCAGAGAAACTGCCAGAGACTAATTCACATTACTTCAGTACGTTGTGTCAATCAGCCTAGCTATGGATCTTTTCTAAACTTAATTCAGTACCCTATATTACATGGACTTTGGTGCACCAATTACATAAAATCGGACGAAAATATATATGGGAGCTCTATCTAAATCTAAACCGATTTTCATGAAACTTTGCACACATTATTATAGACGCAATTCAGTATGTTATGCCAAATTTCGTGCAAATCGAAAGATACCTTACCTTAAATCGGATGAAAATATATATATAGGAGGTATATCTAAATCTGAACCGATTTTCACGAAACTTTGCACACATAATTCTAGGCCTAATTCATTACGCTGTGCCAAATTTCGTGCAAATCGAAATATATATAGGGACTTTGGTACACCATTTACCTTAAGGGAACCCCCCCCATTCTCGATTTTTTATTTTTAAGATTTTAAATGGGCTGGTAAATGAATACCAATGCTTGTTAAGGTTTGAAACTTGGCACATATATATTTGAAGATTTAAAAAGGAAGAAAAATAATTTACCAAAATTTGTTGTTGTTGTTTTGTTGTTGTTTTTTGGGTTCAAAGAAAAGTCCATATTTTCGATGGCGGGCATGATAACTCCTCACTGGAACATCGGAATCCGAAAATTCCAACTGTGTTAGAAAGAGGACATGTCTGGCTCTCGTATGAACTAGGATTATTGTCTTCGCACAACAATTAACAAAATGGCGGAACTTTGAAAATTTTTTTATGGAAAATCGCCTATTTTTTACCGCAAACTAAGTTAAAAAATAAGGAAGATCTTCACCGATTGGCTTTATCCTAGTTCATACGAGAGCTACATACTCCCAGAGAAACGTGTCAAAATTTGAAACCGATTGGATTATTAGTTTTTGAGTTATCGTGCCCGCCATTCGTTTTGAGAAAAACGCGTTTAAAGTTTGAGAAGCCCTTTAGCCGTCACTTGATGCTGACACAATAAATCGGCTATATCTTCAAGAGTTCTTGAGATTTTCACTTGACATTTTGTAGGAACATTCTAGAATTAGAGTAGATTCGAATTAAATCAAAAAAATTTTTGACACCGAGAATGGGGGGGTCCCCTTAAATCGGACGAAGATATATATGGGAGCTATATCTAAATTGGAACCGATTTACACGAAACTTTGCACACGTCATTCTAGTCTTAATTCAATACGCTATGACAAATTTCGAGCAAATCGTAAGATATATACGGTCTTTGATGCACCATTTACCTCAAATCGGTCGAAACTATATATTTGAACTATATCGAAATCTGAACCGAGTTTCAAGAAACTTTGCACACATCATTCTAGACTTAATTCATTACGCTGTGCCAAATTTCGCGCAAATCGAATATATATACGGACTTTGGTACACCATTTAGCTTAAATCGGATGGAAATATATATGGGAGCTATATCTAAATCTGAACCGATTTTCACGAAACATAACATACGTCATTCTAGCCTTAATTCAGTACGCTATGACAAATTTCATGCAAATCGAAGGATTTTCAAAGATTTTGGTGCTTCAATTATCTAAAATCGGATGAAAATATATATGGGGGCTATATCTAAATCTGAACCGATTTTCACGAAACTTGGCAGGCATCATTCTAGACATTACGCCGTGCCAAATTTCGTGAAACTTGCACACATCATTCTAGACCTTATTCATTACGCTGTGCAAAATTTCGTGCAAATCGAAAGATATATAGGGACTATGGTACACCATTTACCTTAAATCGGACGAAAATATATGTGGGAGCTATATCTAAATCTTAACCGATTTTCAGGAAACCTAACACACATCATTCTAGAGTTAATTCAGTACGCTATGACAAATTTCGTGCAAATCGAATGATATAAAGGTTCTTTGGTACACCATTTACCTTAAATCGGACGAAAATATATATGGAGCTATATCTAAATCTGAACCTATTTTCACAAAACTTAGCACACGTTATTCTAAACCTAATTCATTAAGCTGTGCTAAATTCTGTGCTAATCGAAAAATATATAGGGACTTTGGTGCACCGTTTACATTAAATAGAAGGAAAATATAGCTACATCTTAATCTGAACCGATTTTCACGAAACTTAACACACATCACTCTATACCTAATTCATGACGGTGTGCAAAATTTCGTGCAAATCGAAAGATATGTAGGGCCTTTGGTGCACCATTTACATTAAACCGGACGAAAACATATATGGGAGCCATATCTAAATCTGAATCGATTTTCAGGAAACCTAACACACATCATTCTATTCCTAATTCAATACGCTCTGCCAAATTTCGTGCAAATCGAAAGATATATAGGGACCTTGGTACACCATTTACATTAAATCGGACGAAACTTTATATGGGAGCTATATGGAAATCTGGCACACATCATTCTAGACCTTATTCATTACGCTGTGCCAAATTTCGTGCAAATCGAAACTATATACGGGAGCTATATCTAAATCTGAACCGATTTTTCCCAATTTCAAAAGGGTTCGTCCTTGGGCCAAACAAATGCGCTGTGCCAAATTTCATATAAATCGGATCATAAATGCGACCTGTACTTTGTTCACAAAAATACATGGACGGACAGACGGACATGCGTAAATCGACTCTGAAAGTGATTCTATGCATATTCTCAAAAGGAACCATGTGCCTATCTCGTTTCCTTTTGCCTGTTACATACATATGCACAAAGATATAATACCCTGTACCACAGTGTGGTGAAGGGTATAAAAATCCACGCCTTTGCAAATACCATTAAATCTACGCCTTTGCAGATTCGCTAAAAATAATGTTTAAAAAAATCCACACCAAATGAGGTACCCTGAATTTTTTTAAAAGATCCACGTAAAAAAATATTTTTAAATGAGTTCCTAAGACAAGTCACTACCAGTATGAGAATATTTTCAGGGGTCCGCTTTAAAATCAAACAGGGTCAAGGGCTATGCATTTTTTTCTTCTCGCTTCCTCTCTTGTTTGAACATATTTTTTTTTTTTTTTTTTTTTTTTTTGGGAATTAGTTTTCACTTGATGCTTTTTTTTGCCCTGTTTTTGTACTTACATTTTGCCAATCCTCTGGCTCCTCTTTGCGCACTTCCTTTATCTTCTTGACTTCTTCGGCCTTCTTTAGTTGCTCTTGTGCTGTTTGATATAAATTGCAAGGTTTAATTTGTACAAATTGCATTGGATTGTAGGGTGGCGGCGGTGGTGTGGGCCTGGTGACACGAGCCTTGGCCACATAGGCTGTGGGATCGGGAGAAGTAATGGACTGAAATAAAAAGAGGAAGAAGAAGAAAATTACTTTAAAATCTTTTCTTAAAAACAATATTAAATTCACAAAAAAAAATGTTGCTTATTCTACCCATTGTGGTGCTGGCACCTGTCTGGCCATTCTCCTTTAGACCCAAGGGGGTGTGTGTCGGAGAGACAGAGTGTTGGAGGGGGTCTTTTTGTCGAGCAAATCGATACGTTCGTGTTGAAATTTTAAATTTACAAAAATCCATTGAATACTGCAGCACTGAGAGCTGCCAACGGCCTGCTAGGCAGTCTGTATGTCCGGACATTGCCAACCGGTAGGTAATACTTAAAGAGATTTTTTTCGTTCTGCGAAAAAACAAACCACTTATGAGCAACACTTCAGAGCAGAGCAAACATTAACCCTTAAAAAGCTGGCATAAAGCTCGGAGCAAACGTGACCACAAACCTAATCAAGCAGAAGAAAACAAAAAACGAAAACATCCACCGGAGGATACCATGAAAATTATGGAAATGGGAGATGACAACAAAAAGAAAAAAACCCAAACATCATATTGCATAAAATGCTGGTTTGCCTCAAGCCAAAGGCCTCTTGCTTCATTGCAGCTCATTTATGCCCGCCAAGACATAAAACAAAAGCAACAACAACAAAAAGTGCAAGTGGAATATGACATTACTTGAAGGAGGAGGTGGTTTCATTAAAGATGAACGACGAGGTCAGGAACAATAGGTTGGGGTAAATTTTTTTTAAAAACACCCAAGGCGAGAATTTTTTAAAATTATTTTTATTGTATCTCCAAGGGCCTGGATAATTTAAAAATTATTATTAGGGTATCTCCAAGGGCCTGGATTATTTAAAAATTACTTTTAGGTTATCTCCAAGGCCCTGAATTGTTTAAAAATTATTTTTAGGGTATATCCAAGGGCCTGGATTATTTAAAAATTATTTTTAGGGTATCTCCAAGGGCCTGGATTATTTAAAAATTATTTTTAGGGTATCTCCAAGGGCCTGAATTGTTTAAAAATTATTTTAGGGTATCTCCAAGGGCCTGGATTATTTAAAAATTACTTTTAGGGTATCTCCAAGGGCCTGGATTATTTAAGGGCCTGGGTATCTCCAAGGGCCTAAAGGCGTGGATTTTTTAAAAATTATTTTTAGGGTTCCTCTAAAGGCGTGGATTTTTTAAAAATTATTTTTAGGGTTCCTCTAAAGGCGTGGATTTTTTAAAAATTATTTTTAGGGTTCCTCTAAAGGCGTGGATTTTTTAAAAATTATTTTTAGGGTTCCTCTAAAGGCGTGGATTTTTTAAAAATTATTTTTAGGGTTCCTCTAAAGGCGTGGATTTTTTAAAAATTATTTTTAGGGTTCCTCTAAAGGCGTGGATTTTTTAAAAATTATTTTTAGGGTTCCTCTAAAGGCGTGGATTTTTTAAAAATTATTTTTAGGGTTCCTCTAAAGGCGTGGATTTTTTAAAAATTATTTTTAGGGTTCCTCTAAAGGCGTGGATTTTTTAAAAATTATTTTTAGGGTTCCTCTAAAGGCGTGGATTTTTTAAAAATTATTTTTAGGGTTCCTCTAAAGGCGTGGATTTTTTAAAAATTATTTTTAGGGTTCCTCTAAAGGCGTGGATTTTTTAAAAATTATTTTTAGGGTTCCTCTAAAGGCGTGGATTTTTTAAAAATTATTTTTAGGGTTCCTCTAAAGGCGTGGATTTTTTAAAAATTATTTTTAGGGTTCCTCTAAAGGCGTGGATTTTTTAAAAATTATTTTTAGGGTTCCTCTAAAGGCGTGGATTTTTTAAAAATTATTTTTAGGGTTCCTCTAAAGGCGTGGATTTTTTAAAAATTATTTTTAGGGTTCCTCTAAAGGCGTGGATTTTTTAAAAATTATTTTTAGGGTTCCTCTAAAGGCGTGGATTTTTTAAAAATTATTTTTAGGGTTCCTCTAAAGGCGTGGATTTTTTAAAAATTATTTTTAGGGTTCCTCTAAAGGCGTGGATTTTTTAAAAATTATTTTTAGGGTTCCTCTAAAGGCGTGGATTTTTTAAAAATTATTTTTAGGGTTCCTCTAAAGGCGTGGATTTTTTAAAAATTATTTTTAGGGTTCCTCTAAAGGCGTGGATTTTTTAAAAATTATTTTTAGGGTTCCTCTAAAGGCGTGGATTTTTTAAAAATTATTTTTAGGGTTCCTCTAAAGGCGTGGATTTTTTAAAAATTATTTTTAGGGTTCCTCTAAAGGCGTGGATTTTTTAAAAATTATTTTTAGGGTTCCTCTAAAGGCGTGGATTTTTTAAAAATTATTTTTAGGGTTCCTCTAAAGGCGTGGATTTTTTAAAAATTATTTTTAGGGTTCCTCTAAAGGCGTGGATTTTTTAAAAATTATTTTTAGGGTTCCTCTAAAGGCGTGGATTTTTTAAAAATTATTTTTAGGGTTCCTCTAAAGGCGTGGATTTTTTAAAAATTATTTTTAGGGTTCCTCTAAAGGCGTGGATTTTTTAAAAATTATTTTTAGGGTTCCTCTAAAGGCGTGGATTTTTTAAAAATTATTTTTAGGGTTCCTCTAAAGGCGTGGATTTTTTAAAAATTGTTTTTAGGGTTCCTCTAAAGGCGTGGATTTAAATTTTTTTCCACAATTATCCACCTCCCCCTCATCCCCTCAAATACATATTTTTGTGCATCACAATGACTTTGTAATGTTGACGGAAATGAGAATTGTTGACAATTTATTTTTTATTGCGTCTGTATAGGCCGATTTTATTGTTTTTGTTGTTGCAAAACAGTCTCATATGTTTAAGAGCGAAGAAAAAGATATGGAAATAATAATTACAAAATATGATAGAAGGCGCAAAGAAGCAAAAAAAAAATCACCAAAGTCAGGTATGGCTATGAAGGTAATAACTAGCTGGGTTGGGGGATACCGAAGAACATTGGGTGGCTGAGGGGAATGAGGAAATTTAAATTTCCATTCAAGAGACATGCTTACGCTTTAACAGTTTTTTTAAAGCAATGTTGATGGTTTGGTTTGGCTCTCCTTCTTCTGCTTTCCACAAACGAAATGCCTCTGGGTGTCTTTGGAATGCCTTGGGCTTTGTCGTCATCATCAGCTTTAGCTTTGAGAAACCTCTTAAGGGTCTATTGGGACGACTTGAAGGCACCATGCTTATTATGATTTTTTTCTATTGCATTGCATTGAGGTGCATAACCCAAACAAAAAATGGATGGGGAAGGGTTTGAGGAGAAGTTCTAGAATGGGTTCTACAGACAGTTTTTTTTTTGTTTCTGAATGACTGAGCTTTGTTGTGATTTTTCTTACAAAACGTTGCCATATTTTTTTGGGGGGACTTTTCTTTAGCATATTTTGTTTTTATTTTGATTACCTAGTTCATTCCATTTCTAAGGGGGGTTTATGACGAAAACCTCAAACATTTTTGGGTGCTAATGGCAAAACGAAAAACCAGCAAGGAATGTAGTAAAGTCGGACTGGGCCGACTATATGATACCCTTCACCACCTTGGGTATATTCCACATATGTATCCTAACAGACGACGCGTTTTTGTCACATATCTATATCTGTATCGATTTCAGGCAAACTTGACAGAGACTAGATATATAGGGACACCATTTACCTAAAATCGGACGAAAATATATATGGGAGCTATATCTAAATCTGAACCGCTTTTCACGAAACATAGCACACGTCATTCTAGCCTTAATTCAGTATGCTATGACAAATTTCGTGTAAATCGAATGTTTTTCAGAAACTTTGGTGCACCATTTATCTAAAATCGGATGAAAATATATATGGGAGCTATATCTAAATCTGAACCGATTTTCACGAAACTTGGCAGACATCATTCTAGACCTAATACAGTACGCTATGCCAAAATTCGAGCAAATCAAAACATTTCCAGGGACTTTCGTTGACTATTTACCTAAAATCGGACGAAAATATATATGGGAGCTATATCTAAATTTGAACCGATTTTCACGAAACTTGGCAGACATCATTCTAGACTTAATTTAGTACCCTATGCCAAATTTCGTGCAAATCGAAGGATATATATGGACTTTTGTGCACCATTTGCATTAAATCGGTCGAACATATATATGGGAGCTATATCTAAATCTGAACCGATTTTAACGAAACTTTGCACACATTATTCTAGACCTTATTCATTACGCTGTGCCAAATTTCGTGCAAATCGAAAGATATATAGGGACTTTACCTTACATCGGACGAAAATATATATGGGAGCTGTTTCTAAATCTGAACCGATTCTCCCCAATTTCAATAGGGTTCGTCCTTGGGCCAAACAAATGAGCTGTGCCAAATTTTATTCAATTCGGATCATAAATGTACTTTGTTTACAATTTTACATGGACAGACGGACGAAAGGACATGCATAAATCGATTCAGAAAGTGATTCTATGCATATTCTCAAAAGGAACCATGGGTCTATCTTGATTATTTTTTCTGTTACAAACACATGCACAAAGACATAATAACCTGTACCACAGTGTGGTGAAGGGTATAATAAGCTTTTGCGTCTGTCATGGACAATTATCAGCTTAGTTTATGGTGTCAATGGATTAGCACACCAACTGCTGGGAAAATGGAAACTATGAATGGCCTTATTTTTATAGATGACCAAAACAAACAAACAATGTTGAAAATTGAAGGGTGTGGGAAAAATAAGAGGTTATAGTTTGGCATAGCAACGAAAATTTCAATTCATTCTGAAAAATATTGAGGCACACTAAATATATTTTTTTAAAAAATCCACGCCTATTGAGGTACCCAAAAAAATATTTTTTTAAAAAATCCACGCCTATTGAGGTACCCAAAAAAATATTTTTTAAAAACACCACGCCTGTTCATACACACTAAGGATATACTTCAGGCCTTAGGATATACTTTAAAAATATATTTTAAATAAATCTACGCCTTAGGATATACTTTAAAAATATATTTTAAATAAATCTACGCCTTAGGATATACTTTAAAAATATATTTTAAATAAATCCACGCCTTAGGATATACTTTAAAAATATATTTTAAATAAATCTACCCCTTAGGATATACTTTAAAAATATATTTTAAATAAATCTTAGCCTTAGGATATACTTTAAAAATATCTTTTAAATAAATCCACGCCTTAGGATATACTTTAAAAATATCTTTTAAATAAAACCACGCCTTAGGATATACTTTAAAAATATATTTTAAAAATCCACGCCTACGATATGATTTAATTTTTTTTAAATCCACGCCTTAGGATATACTTTAAAAAATATATATTTTTTTAAGTCCAAATCTATTGAGGTGCCCTAAAATATTTTTTTAAGTCCCCATCCTTATTTATATATTTCTCAATCCTTCACTCTTTGAAAGGATACATAAATAAACACTTACATTGTATTATGTATGACTACCTATAAACATAAATATCCATGTGAACATGAATCCCATTTTCAAATATAATTTACATTTTCGATTTAAATATAGGTTAAGAGAAAGTATTTTATGACTCACTGAGTCTATATAGATCTCTTCTCTAACCATTCAGCTTCAGTTACATTTTAGAATAAAATATGAATTGAGTACATGGAGAGGAAAAAGAAGAAGAAGCAATAGAAAAAATAAAAATCAAACAAAATGTTGAAAAAAAAATCGAAAAAGAAATGCATAAATAAATTGTATTCCGCACAAATGCATTTGAAGCAGATACTTGAAAAGTCAATAAACCTAGACAGGCGGGCAGGCAGGCTGGCTGACAGTCATCGAGAAAATCAGCCAACATGACGTCGAGACACACACACAGCAGAGCTTAAAGAAGCCTAGGCCAGGGGACCTACAAACATATGCAGATATGGATGTGTGTGCATGTACTACCGGCAGACATCTATGCAATCCATACTCATAAACCATTAAAGTTGTAAAATAATTCTAAAAAAGTTTTAACAAAAAAAAAAAAAAAAACTAAAACTATGAACGAAGAAAGACAGAAAGGCATGGCAAAAGTGAGAGAGGGAGAAAAAAGGTCACTAACAATTGCACGATATGGAAAATACACGATGAAAGTATTTTGTTTCTACTTAGCAAAAAAAGAAAAGAAAAAATGGTGCTTAAGTGCAACATTAACTTGCAACACATATAAGTTGTACTAAGTGTTGTCAAGGGACAAGGGGGAGGGGTGGTATTTGAAGAAGGCATATTACAGCAAGTGTACTTAAAAGTTGAAAATGTAGAAAAATGAAAACATAAAGGACACACTTTCCGTAAAATTACTTTAATCCTTTTGTGGTTATAGCCTAAAAATAATTTTCAAAAAAAAAAATCCACGCCTGTGGTTAAAGCTATATCTAAATCTGAACCGATTTTCAAATCGAATGACATATAGGGACTTTGGTGCACCATTTACCTAAAATCGGGCGAAGCTATATATGGGAGCTATATCTAAATCTGAACCGATTTTCACGAAACTTAGCACACATCATTCTAGTCCTAATTCAATACGCTATGCCAAATTTCGTGCAAATCGAATGAATTTCAAAAGCTTTGGTGCACCATTTACAGAAAATCGGGCGAATCTAAATCTGATCCGATTTTCACGAAACTTTGCACACGTCATTCTAGACATAATTAAGTACGCTATGCCAAATTTCGTGCAAATCCCATGATTTTCAGGGACGTTGGTGCATCATTTACCTAAAATTGGGCGAAACTAAATATGGGAGCTATATCTAAATCTGGACCGATTTTCACGAGACTTAGCACACGTCATTATAGACATAATTAGGTATATATATATGAGAGCTATATCTAAATCTGAACCGATTTTGACGAAACTTAGTACACCTCATTCAAGACTTCATTCAATACGCTATGCCAAATTTCGTGCAAATCGCATGATATTCAGGGACTTTGGTGCACCATTTACCTAAAATCGGTCGAAAATATATATGTGAGCTATATCTAAATCTGAACCGATTTTCAGGAAACTTAGCACACGTCATTCTAGACCTAATTAAGTACACTATGCCAAAATTCGTGTAAATCGAAAGACATATAGGGACTTTGGTGCCCCATTTACCTTAAATCGGGCGAAAATATATATGAGAGCTATATCTAAATCTGAACCGATTTTCACGAAACTTAGTACACCTCATTCAAGACTTCATTCAATACGCTATGCCAAATTTCGTGCAAATCGCATGATATTCAGGGACTTTGGTGCACCATTTACCTAAAATCGGGCGAAGCTATATATGGGAGCTATATCTAAATCTGAACCGATTTTCACGAAACTTAGCACACGTCATTATAGACTTCATTCAGTACGCCTTGGCAAAATTCGTGGAAATCGAACGATTTTTGGGGACTTTGGTGCACCATTAACCTAAAATCGGGCGAATCTATATATGGGAGCTATATCTAAATCTGAACCGATTTTCACGAAACTTAGCACACGTCATTCTAGATTTAATTCTGTAGTCTATACCAAAATTCCTGCAAATCAAAAGATATATAGGGAGTTTGGTGCACCAATTACCTTAAATCGGACGAAAATATATATGGGAGCTATATCTAAATTTGAACCGATTTTCACGAAACTTTGCGCACATTATTGTAGACTTAATTCAGTAGTATATGCCAAATTTCGGGCAAATCGAAAGATATATAGGGACTTTAGTGCACCATTTACCTAAAATCGGCCGAACATATATATGGGAGCTATATCTAAATCTGAACCGATTTTTCCCAAATTCAATAGGGTGAATGAGCTCTGCCAAATTTTATCCGATTGGGATTATAAGTGCGACCTGTACTTTGTTTACAATTTAACATCAACAGACGGTCGGACGGACAAACGGACATACATAAATCGACTCAGAAAGTGATTCTATGTATATTCTCAAAAGGAACCATGGGTCTATCTCGATTTCTTTTGCCTGTTACAAACATATACACAAAGACATAATACCCGGTACCACGGTGAGGTGAAGGGTATACAAATCTCTACCCATGTGATGGCCTCTAAAAATAGAATCGTAAAAATTTTTCGTCGGGGAAAGAATCCGAAAAATATTTCTATAAAATCTTCTAATATTTTTAGGAAATTATATTCTCCCCTTAAAAAATCCTACTCACCGTTTTCCGTCCTCCACTGCTGCCACCACCATTACAGCTGCTACTGTTCGATGTTGTTGATGTTTGTGATGTTGACATTTCCCCATCCATGATCGATGCTGCTGTTCCTGCTGCTGGCAGCTGGGTCAATTCTTCATTTAAATGGGTTGCTGAATTTGCCGCCGTCGACGAGGACTGCTGGTTGTGCTGGACTTCAGATGCTATCAAAGCTGCTGTGCCGGTTGCTGATGGCGAAGTAGAACTTCGCTCACATTCTAAGGGCATTTCAAATGCCGCTCAACTAGGAGGCGTGTTTAGGTGGGCAAATTTTATGTGAGGGGTGGGTATGGGTTCTGTTTTGGATCAGGACTTCCTTTCTATGGGATGAAAATCCTCTTTCCTTTGGGTTTTTTTTAATTTTTAAATAAAAATTATTTCTATATAAATTCGTTTCTCTCTATATTTTCAGATTTTTCGATATTCTCTCTTATTTAGTTGATGATTTTTTCAATAGCAATAAACTTTGGTACGGATTCCGATGTAGCTCTAATGGAAATGGTAACATTTTACAATGACATGGCTGTGATGGCGTTATGGTGGCTGTGACTGTACTTCTTCTTCTTCGTCACTTCGCTGATGATGAGCAGAGACATTTACACAGCAACAAGAACAACAACGACAACAAGGTATAGGGTTACCAATTTCATTCAAGTTGTGTCAATCACCCACGACATATATGTAAATGCGTTTGATATGTTGCGTTTTATTTTATTCGGTGTTCAGGTTATTGTCGTGTCTTTGTTTTCTTTCCTCTTCTTCTTCTTCTTGTTTTCCGATTTTGAAATGTAATCTGAAATGAAATAAAAATACACATATTAAAATTCAATTTTATGTTCAAAACATTTTGTAGGAAATAAATGTTTCGAAAAAAACGAGAAAAAAGGTGTTAAGACATTGGTCGTGATTTGTCGGGCGTGGGTGTCGAGAAGGTGTTAAATCTTCTTATCACGAGGCCTACGCTTCATCGATAAATCGAATGGCAGCGGCGGTTGGCCATAAAATACAACTGTGACAAATTATGAGCGATTAAAAACAGATTAGACACACTTTATTAGTGGAGGAACGGGGATGGGAGCTGAATGTGTTCTCCACAAGCTACAGAAGAAGAGAAAATGCGATGAGTTGCGATTAAATTTTATATACATCTCTATTTAGACATTTAAATAAAGAATTTTGAGAGTTGGGCGCCATTTTTTTGAAGACTAGCATTAAACGAAACATTTTCAAAAGCTAATATATTTCTAAAATTCTTGTTCTCCACAACCTACAGAAGAAGAAGAAAAAACACGATGAGTAGCGATTAAATTTTATATACATCTCTATTTTGACATTTAAATAAAGCATTTTGAGAGTGCCTCACGTTGGGCGCCAATTTTTTAAAGACTAGCATTAAACGAAACATTTTCAAAAGCTAATATATTTTTAAAATTCTTCTGGTAAACCTATTACGAACGCAGATTTGTAAAAATATTTTCTGTGGACTGAGATTTTCTAAAACAATTTTTAAAGGGTCCAGCACAGGCTTGGAATTTTTAAAAACATTTTTTACAGGGTCCAGCACAGGAGTGGATTTTTCAAAAATATTTTTTAAAGGGTACAGCACAGGCGTGGTCATCAGTGACTGCCACCCAAGGTGGGTCTGAATAAACACCCATCTTCCCATCATCCATCAATAGCAATAACAATAATATGCAATTTATGAACTTTATCCGTGCCTCACGTTGGGCGCCAAAATAGATTTTTTTTACAATATTGTTAAGATATTGTTAGATACTTTTAAGATATTTTATAGAAGCCTAGAATAAGCGTTAAGCCTAGCATAAAAATGAATTGTGCTAGGGTCCCACGTTGGGCGCCACATATATATTTTTTAATGTATATGTGGACTTTTAAAAATATTTTTTAAATGGTCCAGTACAGGCGTGGTCATCAGTGACTGCCACCCAATGTGGGTCTGAATAAACACCCATCTTCCCATCATCCATCAATAGCAATAACAATAATATGCAATTTATGAACTTTTTCAGTGCCTCACGTTGGGCGCCAAAATAGATTTTTTTAACAATATTGTTAAGATATTAGCGTAGATATTTTCAAGTTATTTTATAGAAGCCCAGCGTTTTTTAAGCCTAGCATAAAAGTGAATTGAGTTAGGGCCCCACGTTGGGCGCCACATATGTATTTTTTAAACTAGCAGTGTGATAATTCCTAAAAAATATTCTAAAAATATTTTTAAAAGGTCCAGCACAGGCTTGGATTTTTTACAAATATTTTTAAGGGGTCCAGCACAGCCGTGGACTTTTAAAAATATTTTGTAAGGTTCCAGCAAAGGCGTGGTCATCAATGACTGCTACACAAGGTGGGTCTGAATAAACTCCCACCTTCCTATCATCCATCAATACCAATAACAATAATATGCAATTTATGAACTTCTTCAGTGCCTCACGTTGGGCGCCAAAATAGATTTTTTTAACAATATTGTTAAGACATTGGCGTATATACTTTTAAGATATTTTATAGAAGCCTAGAATAAGCGTTTTTTAAGCCTAGCTTAAAAATGAATTGTGTTAGGGCCCCACGTTGGGCGCCACATATATATTTTTTTGAACTAGCGGTGTGATAATTCCTAAAAAAATATTATTTTAAAATTCCACAATGAAAAATAATGGATTCGCATTACAGATGACCCCTATAAATATGTTTTTAATTTTGCGCAAACAAACACGACCCAAATTCCTTCTTTGGCTATTTAAAATTTCTCAAGTTTCTCATTTTTTTTTCAGTCCAATTTCTATTGGAGATTTCTTCGGCTGGAATTTCCTCCAACCGTGTATCGGCAAATGGTGTTGACAATATTTCTTAACACTATTTTACTGAATAGAATTGGCTTCCATTGAAACAATTAAGACCTTTAATTAACAGGTAGAAAGAAAAAAAATAGATTCGAGCGGTGCATGTAAAGAACTTGTCGGGTGGAATGTTGCATTTGCTACAGCCACGAAGAAAAAAAGAAACAGAACAGAAGTGGGGACAATTAACACCATAATACTTCTTGATAGCTTCACTTCTGGCAGATCATGAAAAAGTCATATAATTAGTTGGTCAGTTATGCGGTCCATCCATATAACCTTAGCCAAGACGAACGAACATTAAGCCGGATAAAAATACTCGAAATAATTAGTTGAAGATATATTTTCAAAAAGAAGAATTCGCCACGCTGAGATGTTACGCCGTGAGTTCAACTTCGAGTCACAACAAAATGAGAGTAATTGTCCTCCACAAGTGAAGCACTTAATTCCTTTTTTTTTTTTTTTGTCAGACATATGTGACCCTCTTCTTCTGTTGTAATTTTTTATTCTTGTTCTTCTTCTTCTTTTTGTATGGCATAATAAATATTTCAATTAACATTTTCTTCAAGGCATCTGAACCGACCAAACGAACGACAGCCAGCCATAACAATTTATCTTCATGATTATATTGAAAATTGCTCGATTCTCAGCTTATTCCGTCTGATGGTGATGATGCGCTGATGGGTGTGTATGAGTGTGTGTGTGAGAATGCTTTTTTGCGAAAATTCTAAAGTGAAAAATTGAAAATTATTAAATTATATTCGTACTTAAAGACGAGTAATAATGCCCACAATTGATATGAACTTAAGTGTTTGGGTGTCTGTCCCGCACGAATCCAAAATAGCCACCGCAAATTGAACTTTATTGTGTCGATGCGGTTGAGACTTTGGTGTGCCGAAGATGGGAGTTGATTTCATAGGAATTCATGGAAAAAATCCTTAAATCATATTTTGGCGCCCAACATGAAACTAAGTTAATCAGTTAAATAATTTAATTTCATGTTGGACGGAAAGATATGGATTTTTTATGAATATTCCTTCAAAGGACCTACACATCCGACATTTGTGCTTTATTGTCGATTTTGAATATAGGAATTAATCTTCTAGTAGTCCATTCAAATTATTAATTTAATTCCACGTTGGGCGCCAATATATATCACGCTTTTTTGCACATCAAAAGTCATAGAGAGGAATGTCAGGAAATCAATAGATGATCCACGGAATAATCTGTGACGTTTTATGACAAATTGTAAACAAAATATATCCTAGCCCCACATTGGGCGCCAATCACAGAAATAATTATCTGAACAAGAGCGTGGATTTATATAAAGATTAGTTTTTCTTGATAGATTATTTTTCAAAGACTAACAGAACTGTCAAATGAATTTAATTCACGGTTAGGAATTAATGGAAGACTGTTCGACTAATTAATTTAGTTTCTCGTTGGGCGCCAAATATCATACGATTTCATGCATCTCTAAAACAAAGAGGAACAAAGCCAGAAATTTAATTGATAACCAGCTGAATAATTTGTGCCGATGTAGGACAAATTGTGAGCAAAATATGCCCTAGCCCCACATTGGACGTCAAGCTCAGCAAGACAATCTACAATAATTTTTTAAAGAAATGTTCTTAAAAGATTTTTTTTTCAAAGACTAACAGATCTACCAAATAAATTTTATTCACCGGAATTCTTCGCAAATGATGGAAGCCTGTTTGACTGATTAGTTTCTCGTTGGACGCCAGATATGATTTGATTTCATGCATTTCAAAGACAAAGTGTGATAAAACCAGGATCTTAATGGATAACCAACTGAATAATTTGTGCCGAAGTACGAGAAATTGTGTCCTGCCCCAAATTGGGCGCCAACCACAAAAACACAGTCTGAGCAACATGTGTGGATTTCTTTAAAGAAGAATTATTGTTTAATAAATATTTTTTTCAAAGACTAACAGATCCACCAAATAAATTTTATTCAAGGTTAGGAATTAATGTTTTGAGGCGTCAAATAAAAGTGGACTTTTTAAAGATATTTTTCCAGGCATAGGAGAAGCGAGGATTTTTTAAAGACATTTTTTCCAGGCATAGGAGAAGCGTTGATTTTCTAAACATATTTTTTCCAGGCATAGGAGAAGCGTGGATTTTCTAAAGATATTTTTCCAGGCATAGGAGAAGCTTGGATTCTTTTAACATATTTTTTCCAGGCATAGGAGAATTGTGGATTTTTTAAAGATATTTTTTTCATGGCATAGAGGAAGCGTGGATTTTTTTAAAGATATTTTTCCAGGCATAGAAGAAACGTGGATTTTTTTAAAGATATTTTTTTCCAGGCATAGGAGAATTGTAGATTTTTTAAAGATATTTTTTTCCAGGCAT